TGGCCATTTTTTGGTTGCAGCCATTATTGTTGTTTGGCGGGCCCAGGCTGGGGATTCAAACCCGCCACCTTAGTGTGTATGTGGCTGGCGCCTTAGCCGCTTGAGCCACAGGCGCCGAGCCTTGATGGTGAATTATTAGAAATATATTTCAAATCTCCAAACGTATGTTTTACTTTTTAAATTTAAAATTATTATGCATTTCTAACTTAACTGTATTGTAGTCTATGTGATATTGACTGAAATTTGTTGAGACCTGTTTTATGCCCTAAAACATGGTCAATTTAGGTAAATGTTTCATAGTCACTTGAAAAACTGTGTAGAGTTCTATGTATGTCTATTAAGCTTATTAATTTATTCAAATCTGCTTTACTATATACCCTAATTTTTTATCTCCCAGATTATTGATAACTTTCAAGAAGCTTTTAAATTTCTGTACCATGGCTATTGGCTATAGACTTGTTTATTTTTCTTCATAATTCTGTCAATTATTGTCAGGCTGGAGTGCAGTGGCACAATCATAGCTCACTGCAGCCTCAAACTCCTGGGTTTAAACCATCCTTCTGCCTCAGCCTCCCCAGTAGCTGGGACTACAGGTGCCCTGCTCCTGAATGACTTTTCTGGTCCTCTGCCTAGCAATTCTGATTCTCTGACCTTGATCCTTTGGCCTTCACCTGTGAAATAAGCAGGTAATTCTAGTTGGCCTCTAAGCCCTGCTAAGTTCTTCCATTCTGTGATCATGGCTCCATGAGATATGGCTTGGATGTGTGGATGTTACATATTTCTTTACCCCAAACCATATCTGAAAAGACTTAGGGCTTGGTTATCAAAGTAAATGGCTTAAGTGCTGTTATTTCTTTTAGTAAACCCATAGCAGACATTGCTAATCAACCTCGGCACTCCTTCCCGCTCTGCCCAAACCCTTTTAATCATGACTAGGGCTTTTCCAAGGCTCAATTCCTCCTTTTATCCCTTGTCAGACCATGGCCAGTGCAGCGAGGGAACTGGTCATCCAGCGGTTGAGTCTGGTGAGGAGTCTGTGTGAGAGTGAGGAGCAGCGCTTACTGGAGCAGGTGCATGGTGAAGAGGAGCGGGCCCACCAGAGTATCCTGACACAGCGTGCACACTGGGCCGAGGCCCTGCAGAAGCTTGACACCATCCGCACCAGCCTGGTGGGCATGCTTACCCATCTGGATGACCTCCAGCTAATTGTAAGTCAGGCAAGGGTGAGGACATGACCATTTGGCCAGACTCTCAAAAAGTTTGAAAGCATCAGGAATATTTATTGGCAGGAGGTGAGTAGAAATGAGAATTTGGAGCAGGTATGAGTGACAAAGATTCTTTTTTTTTTGGAGACAGAGTCTACTGTCACTCCAGGTAGAGTGCAGTGGTGTCATCACAGCTCACTGCAACCTCATACTCCTGGGCTCAAGCAATTCTCCTGCTTCAACCTCCTGAGTAGCTGGGACTACAGTCATATACCACCATGCCTGGCTAATTTTTTCTATTTTTAGTAGAGACTGAGTCTCATTCTTTTCTTTTTTTTCCTGGTTGCAGTTTGGCTGGGGCCAGGTTTGAACCCGCCACCCTCAGTATATGGGGCCAGCACCCAACCCACTGAGCCACAGGCACCGCCCTTGAGTCTCATTCTTATTCACTCTGGTCTTGAACTCCTGACCTCAAGCAATCCTACCATGGCCTCCCAGAGTGCTAGAAAGATTCTTTCCTTGGCTAAACTTTACTCATGCTTCTCAACCTTGTCTTAGACCCATCAGTATACTTTCTTGTAAAATCTAGTTTTAGCAAAAGAAATCTGCTATGTCAGTTTACCCAGAACCCCTGAACCCTTAATAACTGATCATCCTCGATATCTGATCAGGTTCTTCATCCTGCACTTTCCCTCAGGTAATGTCTGATCACCTGGCCTGTCTTCAGCAAGAATCCTGTTAGGTCAGTTTAGCCAGAATCCCCCTCACCCTGGAGTTTCCTCTTAGAAATTTTCCACTGTAGCCGGGCGTTGTGGCGGGCGCCTGTGGTCCCAGCTACTTGGGAGGCGGAGGCAGGAGACTCGCTTGAGCCCAGGAGTTGGAGGTTGCTGTGAGCTGTAATGCCACGGCACTCTGCCCAGGGGGACAGCTTGAGGCTCCGTCTCAAAAAAAAAAAAAAAAAAGAAATTTTCCACTGAAAATCCACTGACTCTCACTCTGCTCCTTTTTTTTGAGACAGTTTCTCTTTGTCACACTCAGTAGAGTGCTATGGCATCACAGCTCACAGCAACCTCAAACTCCTGGGCTCAAGTGATTCTCTTGCCTCAGCCTCCCAGGTAGCTGGGACTACAGGTGCCTGCCACAATACCCAGCTATTTATAGAGACGGGTGTGTGTGTGTGTTTCTTGATCTTGCTCAGGCTGGTCTTGAACCTGTGAGCTCAGACAATCCACTGGTCTTGCAATCCTGGAGTGCTAGGATTACAGGCGTGAGCCACCACACCTGGCCCTCACTCTGCTCCTTGACTGTAAATTTCCACCTGCCCAGTCTCTCTCCCCCACTGCAAGGCCTGTTGCTGTAGTCCCTATACTGTGTTTTAACAAATATCATTGAATCATTTCTTCCTTAACATGGCACAGAGGAGTAAATTTGTATGCATTTTGGGGGTACCTGATATCAGTATTCTTTTAATTGGTGAACCAGTTGGATGCCTATTATATGCTAAGCATTACAGGATACAGCTGCCTGCTGCTTCCGGTCTCATGAAGGAGAGGAGTACCTATGCTGACAATTAGAATATGGGAGGATTTGTGCTATTATAGAAGAAATAACTTGTCTGGGTTCCCAGCCATGCAGGCTAGAGGAAGGAGGGCCAGAGAAAGCTTTCTGGGAGAAGTGACTTAGAAGATAAGGGTGGCTATATTAAAGGGAGTGGGGAGGTGGAGAGTTGAGAGGCACGCAGAAAGAACCCTGTGCTCAGAGGAGCTGACAGGGGCTCCAAGAGGAAATTGTAAAGCTTATTCTAGTCCTACCACCCAGAAGTACCATGATTAATATTTGGTACATAGCCTTTCAAAGTATCTTATATAGATACGCAGATGCCTCTAGTGTCAAGGGGACAGTGTGATACCTGAGTAAAAATGCCGAGCAGAGGGAAGGAGAATGTGGAACACCCGAGCTGTCCCTCTGCATTTTCAAATAGAGCAGTTTCCGTGATTGCCCTAGATTGTGCATTCACCTAGTCACACAGCCCAGCTTCTGTGTACAGAGCACATTCTGTCACAGACACTGGGACAGTCACAAGAGAAGATTCAGAAGGAATCACAGGCTTCCAGGGGCTGACAGTCCTAATAGGATGGTGTCAGGGTAAATAGGTGATGGTGCTGAAGTGGAGTTGGAGGGAACTCAGGATGGCATGGGACACGGGGGACAGAGTAATTCATCCTGAGTGTGTGTGTGTGTGTGCAGAGCAGCCCAGAAGGCTTTGTGTTAGGTCTTAAAGAAGAAGTAGAAGTTATTACTGTAGAGATCGTGTGCACATGGAGCCCCTACAGTAATTAAATGTGTTCGGATGTTGACTGACTGCTGGGTTTCTGGTGCCAAGCCTGACTTTGTTTTCTTTGCTCACAGGAGAAGGAGCAGGAGATTTTTGAGAGGTGAGTATGGCCTGTGATCTGCTTGGGCAGTCATGGAGACCCACAGGCTTCTGCGCAGACAGGCCCCACTGCTCTTGGGAGAAAGCACAGGGTGTACAGCTGAGTGGCTTCCCTGGAGCCAGCCCGATGGACAGGGATCTTCCTGACCTTGGTTTGGAGAACTGCTTCAGACTTACACGGAAGGCCAGTGAAATACTTATCTATCAGAGACTTTCCATGGGCTTTCTTAAACATTATCCTATTTTAAAATACAGTCTCCCTGATGGAGGGTTTTACCACCTCCCTCAGGTGAGAATATTAATGCTCAAATAGGGGAAGGGACTTGCCTAAGCTTGAAGCTGAGGATTGGACCTGCCTGACACGAGTCCAAGTGCCATCTCCTCTACCCGCCTCCTCCTTTCTCTGATGAAAGAATCTCAAAATTTTAAGGCTTAATTACTATTCAAATTTGTATTTTAATTATTCAATAATAAGAAATTTTCATCAGGTCCTACCTGAGTTTTGAAAGGCTGAGGGCCAAAGGCTGAGGATGGCCAACAGGGTGTAATTTGCCAGGCAAAGTAATTAACATCTCAAACCTTCTGTGCATGATTTCCGAGCTATTTGGAAATAACTACAGTCGATTCTTAAATGTTTTTAGATCTATTTATTTTTAATTTCAGATTAATATATTTTTTATATTTCAGTGTCAGTACCAGTACACGTGCATAAGAGAAAAAACTCCACCAACCTAAAACCATTTAAAATAAAAAATAAGTCTCCATTACCCCTCCCCAATCCCATCTTTTTTTTGGTTTTATTTGCGACAGAACCTCAAGCTGTTGCCCTGGGTAGAGTGCTGTGACATCACAGCTCACAGCTCACAGCAACCTCCAACTCCTGGGCGCAAGCGATTCTCCTGCCTCTGCCTCCCAAGCAGCTGGGACCATCGGCACCTGCCACAATGCCCAGCTATTTTTTGGTTGCAGCCATCATTGTTGTTTGGTGGGTCCAGGCTGGATTCAAACCTGCCAGCTCAGGTATGTGTGGCTGGTGCCTTAGCCACTTGAGCCACAGATACTGAGCTCCAATCCCATCATTTTAATAGATGTCTGTTTTGTAGACTTTCCTATGTGTAGTTGCAGACTGATATGTAGCTATTTTTGTTTTTTGTTGTTGTGCTTTAATTTTTTTTTTTAATTTTTTTTTTGAGACAGAGTCTCACTTTGTCATCCTCGGTAGAGTGCCAGGCATCATAGCTCACAGCAATCTCAAACTCTTGGGCTCAAGCCTCAGCCTCTCAAGTAACAGGCGCCCGTCACAATGCCCAGCTATTTTTAGAGACAAGGTCTCGCATTGGCTCAGGCTGGTCTTGAACATGTGAGCTCAGGCAATCCACCTGCCTTGGCCTCCCAAGTTCTGGGATTACAAGCATGAGTTGCCGTGCCTGGCTAAAATTGTTTTTTTTTTAAATATGTCCTCTGCTCCCTTTCAAACTTTCAGCCAGTAATTTCAGCATCCATTGATAATTCTCGTCAGAATAATCCATTTGTTTCGCTGTTTGTTTTTTCACTTATTTAGTATTAGTACAGAATCATGGACTCTTGCTTTATTTAATGCATTATAACCTATTATTGCCATTATTAGTTTTGATTTTTGAACTGTCACTGATTAGAGCCTGTCGCATTGGCTCATGCCTGTAATCCTAATACTCTGGGAGGCCGAGGAGGGCAGATTGCTTGAGCTCAGGAGTTTGAGAGCAGCCTGAGCAAGACCGAAACCCCATCCCTACTAAAAATAGAAAACTTGAGGCAAGAAGATCATTTGAGCCCAAGATTTTGAGGTTGCTGTGAGCTATGATGATGCCATGGCACTCTACCCAAGGCGACAGAGACTCTGTCTCAAAACAAGCAAACAAACTATCGCCAGTTTGGCCAGTCGGAGCCCCTTCAAGCTGGATCCAGTTTCTTTTTGATAAGTCTCCATCATTCTTTGAGTACATTCTTTATCTCAGGCACAAGAAGACATCCCAGGCCCAATTTGTTCTTTTCCTGCCCCAATCGTGGAATCAGCTATTTCCCTAGGGGTCCTGGAATTTTTTTAGTGGGGAATGAAATTTAGAAACCAAGACCTGGGCATTAAGTGTACACATTGTCATTCCTTCCAGGGCTTCCCAGTGGAGTAGACAGAGCTAACAAGTGTGTGTGTATTAATTTTTTTATGCATGCATTTGTAGTTCCAATCCAACACCACAGGGTTTTCCCTTTGCCCTCCCCCATTCTATATAAATGTGTATATATATATATATATATATTTTTTTTTTTTTTTTTTTTTTGGAGACAGAGTCTTACTATTTTGCCCTCGGTAGAGTGCCGTGGTGTCACAGCTCACAGCAACCTCCAACTCTTGGGCTTAGGCAATTCTCTTGCTTCAGCCTCCCAAGTAACTGGGACTACAGGCACTCACCACAATGCCTGGCTATTTTTTTTGTTGCAGTTGTCATTGTTTAGCTGGCCTGGGCCGGGTTCGAACCCACCAGCCTCAGTGTATGTGGCTGACCACTGTGCTATGAGTGCTGAGCACCCCCATTCTATATTTGTATCTTTCTTCTTTTTTTTTTGCAGGTTTTGGCCACCGTGCTACAAGTGCTGAGCACCCCCATTCTATATTTGTATCTTTTTTTTTTTTGCAGGTTTTGGCCGGGGCTGGGTTTGAACCCTCCACCCCCAGTTATGCGGCCGGCACCCTACTCCTTTGAGCCGTAGGCGCCGCCCTGTATCTTTCTTCTTTTACAGTGGAACCCTGGCTCCCAACAATATCAATGTATCTGTTCATTTGGTCAGTCCTACAATATACACAGAGTCATTTGAGAATTGCTTAGCCCGTGCTGCTATTGACAAACCTACTAGCAGAGTTCAAGATTTGTGTGTAGGGTCGGCACCTGTAGCTCAAGCAGCTAAGGTGCCAGCCACATACACCAGAGCTGGTAGGTTCGAATCCAGCCCAGGCCTGCCAAACAACAATGACAACTACAACCAAAAAATAGCTGGGCATTGTGGTGGATGCCTGTAGTCCCAGCTACGTGGAAGGCTAAGGCAAGAGAATTGCTTAGGCAAGAGTTGGAGGTTGCTGTGAGCTCTGATGCCATGCCAGGACAACAGCTTCAGGCTCGGTCTAAAAAAAAAAGATTTGTGTGTAGTTGTTTGTGCCCTTAGGCTGAGGGTATACACCCTAAAGCCCTGTGTGCAAAAGTTGTCAAGCCCCATCGAGCTGGAAATCACTTGCCTAACTAGAAATGCCTTTGTGGCTATGGCGTTGTTTCCGCGTGCATGGCTGTGCTCTGCATTGACCTATCAAGCAAACAGCTCTTGCTGCAAAGACAGGGCATTCTGACCCCACAGGGCCTGCTGCATTCAAGCCCTATTTCCTTTCTACCCCTTTGAGGCTGTGAGTTTTCTCTTCTGTCCCCGGAGGTAGCTAGCCCAGGTGGTTCTCTGTAGACTCTAGTGTCATGTTTGGTCTCAGATTTGCCCTGGGACGACAGCTTAGCACTGCTGACACTGGCTTCTCTTTGCTCCCCACCTGTTGGCTGGGGCTTTTCTAGACTGAGCTTCTGTGCTTTGAGAAGAAGGCAACAGACCTTCTCTTGTCCTGACCACAAAGAGCCTTTGTTACCAGAGCCTGCTCCTAGCATTTCTGAGGCTCTGTGTACCTCGTTCTTCCCAAGCCAGGACAGTCAGTGACAGCCTTGCAAAGAGCTCACATCCATCAGGGCACATGTTTCATTCTCTGTCCCCAACTCCATTTACAGGTAGGGCTATGGAGATCTGTGGAGAGATCTCCTACTGCCTGATCCTCAGTACTATAGGCAGTTGGAAGTTTCTTTCTGAGAGCCCAGGTCAGAGGTCTGCAAAGCTATGTGGTAAATCCCACTGTGCCCTGTACCCCTTTGAGATTTTACTTATGGTCAAGGAAATAATTGTGCTGAATCGTGCCTGGGCTCCATCCAGGTTTGCTCTATTTTTGCATGGAGGCAGGACTGGAATCCAAGCCTCTCTTTTTAGCTGAGTGTCTTCTCTGCACCTCTCTTCTCTTCTGTCAAGTGGCATAACCACAATCTCCCAGGTTATGGTAGAGTTTAAATGTGATTGTGTATAATAACAGCCAGCCCAGAGCCTGGCTGCTGGATACATGCAGTTCTCTCTTCCTACTCATCCTGTCTTCCCAAAGTACCTCTGCAGTAAAACCCAGGCCCCACTGAAGATGAGAAGAGATAATTATTTGGAACAAATTGCTATGACTAATTTGTGGTTGGGGTGATGGCCCCTTCCTATGTGACCCCTCAGGGGTGTTTGCATTTTAGAAGCAGGGAAGTGGCTGTGCTTTCTGCTGGAACTGAGGGACACGTTACTGATGCAACAGTAATGCTGGGAGGTAGGGAGGAGACTTTCTGGGGGAGATTGGAAAGACTGCCATCTGGGGGTTCTGGAGGCGCAGGTCTTAGTCTCAGCTGTGCTGTGAACTTACAGAGGGACACTGGTGAGCTCTGAGCGCATCACCTTCAGTTTCCAGTAGAGGTGTGAAGTATGCACCTCCCTGGAAATTGTCTATCTGCTTTGCTGGAATTAAGGCTACAGGGGGTGAGGAGAGATGCAGGGGGAAATGCCCACCTTCTCTTTTGGCTCAACCCCCTCTAGGAGCCCCTGTGTGGGGCCTGGCTGCCAATTTTGGTGACACCCTGGTGGGAGGAGGATTTTATTTCCGTCCATCCCCTTTCCCTATATACTGATCCAGATACATCTTTGGAACCTTCCTGAATCTCTGTCTCTGTTTTTTCCCTGCATAAGGACTGAAGAAGCAGAGGGCATTTTGGATCCCCAGGAGTCAGAAAAGTTAAACTTTAACGAGAAGTGTACTCGGAGTCCGCTACTCACTCAACTCTGGGCAATAGCAGTTCTTGGGTCTCTCTCAGGTAAGGAGCTGTGAGAGCCCAGCACAGTGGTCTCTCTGGGGTTTGCTTCTGGGTCACACTGGGGACTAGTGCTTCTGGGATGGCGACTGAAACAACCAGTAATGCTGGGTGTAGGCTGATCAGTGGGTCTGTTCTATGGTTGGTTTAGGATAAATCTTGATCCTATAAACTATGTCCTCCTTACATCCTGCCCTACTGGGGCAGCTCAGTATTATTTATTGGAAACCTTGGGTTTCTTTTTTTTTTTGATACGGAGTCTGCTCTGTCACCTGGGCTGAGGTGTTGTGGCATCAGCCTAACTCACAGCAACCTCAAACTCCTGGGTTCAATGGATCCTCTTACCCTACCCTCCCAAATAGCTGGGATTATAGGCACCTGCTGCAATGCCTTGCTAATTTTCCTATTTTTTAGTAGAGATGGGGTCTGGCTCTTGCTCGTGCTGGTCTTGAACTCCTGGGGTTCAAGCAGTTCTCCTGCCTCAGCCTCCCAGAGTGCTAGGATTACAGGTGTGAGCCACCACATTCAGCCTTTAGGTTTCTCTTTTAAGAAGATGTAATTTACAGGCAACTGGAGAGTGTCTGAGCCAAGAATGAAACTTCCTGGATTTGCTTCACTTATTCACTTAACAAACACTGACTCAGGCCGAGTGTGGGCCTGACCCTGTGCTGCATGTTGGGGTCACAGAGGAGAACACGACATGGTCTTCCGCCCTCCCCCTTAACACGGAGGTTCTCACAGCAGGCTTTCTGCAAGTTGGTTGGTAGTGTCTATAATCCCAGTGGTTTTTGCACAACTAATGGAATAGTTAACAGACTGGATTAATTTTCAATGTTAACCCTCTCCCTACACACACACATGTTATCCTTAAAGTTTTGGTACAGATTCTGGATTCTGGTCTCAGACAGTGCCTGCTTTACCAGCAGTCTATTTTAGTTATTTTCTGGAAACAGCATATCTCAGGCTTCCTGACTTCCAGATAGGACAAGTCTGATTTGGAGACCAAGCAGAAAGCAGAAGCAGTGGGCAGAAATGGCTCAGTGGGTAGGGCGCCAGCCCCATATACCGAGAGTGGCAGGTTTGAACCCAGCCTCGGCCAAACTGCGACAAAAAATAGCCAGGTGTTGTGGCGGGTGCCTGTAGTGCCAGCTACTCGGGAGTCTGAGGCAAGAGAATCACCTAAGCCCATGAGTTGGAGGTTGCTGTGAGCTGCTTTATCGCACTCTACCAAGGGTGATAAATGAGACTCTGTCTCTATAAATAAAAAAGAAAGCAGAAGCAGTGCAATGAGTGCTACATGTAGGAACAAGATGCCAATCCTTCATTTTGAACTTGTCACCAACTCAGTGCATAGTCTCAGGCAACGCACTGATCTCTGTCTCTGGGCCTTCTTTCTAACAGAGCTTACAGAGACTTGGACTAATAAAGACTGTTACCATGCCTACAGTTTATTGAGTACCTATTATATGCTGAGCACTTTACATGTATCATGTAATTCTTTTTTTTTTTTTTTTTTTGGAGACAGAGTCATAGCTGACAGCAACCTCAAACTCTTGGGCTCAAGCCATTCTCTTGCTTCAGCCTCCTGAGTAGCTGGGACTACAGGGACCTGCCATGATGCCTGGCTATTTTTCTTTTAGAGACAGGGTCCTACTCTTGCTCAGGCTGGTATCAAACTCCTGAGCGCAGGCAGTCCACTTGCCAAAGCCTCCCAGAGTGCTAGGATTATAGGCATGAGCCACCATACCCTTTTAATTCTTGTGACTATCCTGTGATAAATCCGATTTTGACATCTATTTTATAGACAAGGAAACTGAGGCTCAGAGAGAGTAAACGACTCATCTGAGGTCTCACTGACAGTGAGTGGTAAAGAAGCCCTTTGCTACCTGGTGAGACCAGGTCAGGGCAGTGGTGGACCTCAGATAACTCTCAGAATTCGTTCTGGCAGGCACAGAGGACATACGTATTGATGAGAGGACCGTCAGCCCCTTCCTGCAATTGTCAGATGATCGACGAACCCTGACCTTCAGTGCCAAGAAGTCCAAGGCCTGTGTAGATGGCCCAGAGCGCTTTGATCACTGGCCCAATGCCCTGGCTGCCACCTCCTTCCAGGCAGGGCTCCATGCCTGGATGGTGAATGTTCAGAACAGTGGTGCCTATAAGGTGGGCGTGGCCTCAGGCCAGCTGCCCCGCAAGGGTTCCGGCAGTGACTGCCGTCTAGGCCATAATGCCTTCTCCTGGGTCTTCTCTCGCTATGATCAAGAGTTCCGTTTCTTGCACAATGGGCAGCACGAGCCCCTGGGGCTGTTGCGGTGCCCAGCTCAGCTGGGTGTGTTGCTGGACTTGCAGGCTCAGGAGCTGCTCTTCTATGATCCAGCCTCAGGCACGGTGCTCTACATCCACCACGCATCCTTCCCTGGGCCCCTCTTCCCTGTCTTTGCTGTGGCTGACCAGACCATTTCTATCATTCACTGACCTCTGGCTGCAGAGTAGTCAGGTCTACCTTCCAGCCCCTCGTTAGGCCATGTTTCTATCCACTATCCTTTTCCCAAATGATGTGAATGATGTTTCTAAGGCAAACAGGACCCACACCCAATGGGCAGCTTTTGGAAGGGGGGGATCTGCTTCAGATCTGGGCCCAAACTTTAAATTTTGGGTATCCATGGGGAGTCTGCTGTTCCCAAATCTACCATGCATCTGTCCTTCCAAGGGTGTCTTTGTCTCTGGCATGGCGCCTGGTGCGTAGAGTGTGTAATGAAAGGATGCGGGATGGCTGGATAGACATGGTAGTCTCTGAAAAGGCTCTGCCCCACTTTGGGCATGTAGAAGTGGTTCTCTCAGAAACCTGGGCTGAAGCTTCTTCCTCCCCTAAGTTCAGTGCTTCTCAATCTTTTTCATGATATGGCACATCGAGAACATATTTTTTCTAGTACACAAGGACAACATGAAAGGCTGCTCCTGGTTGGAGGACTCTGGCCTGAGGGGCTATGTCCTTTACCCAGGTCCTCCTAGGACCTCAGAAGACCAAGAGATGACATCTCCAGGTGACCTCACTGTAACACTGCTGTTGGCATCTGTCTCAAACTGTAACAATCTGTCTCAATCTGCATCTGTAACACTAAGCTCCAGCCTATGCCCACTGGTGGCAGCTTGAGTTCTCCCACCTGACAGCCTCCTCTGCCCTAAAGTGGAGACCTGAAGTGAGGGCTTCCAGCAGAAAGAGCTGAGGGGTAAGAGGCCAGCCTTGGGGCACATGGACATGATTAAAGGTCTTAAAAACTTCAAATATGTCTTCCACCCTCTTTGCTGGTAACTGGGCATTTGTCTTCCTTACCCTCATCTGCATTCTCAGAAACAAGTGGCAGCTTAGCATAACAAAGAGCCTGGAGACATTATTGGGACCAAAGGCAAGTCCCTTCATGTTTCCCTCTGTGAATAGAAGTCTCCCAACTTTCACCCAGGAGCATTCTTCTAAAGCAATCTTACCTATAACTCCAGGCTCCTGGGGCTGAAGAGGATGAGAGCCCCAGCTCAGTTTGAAAATCACTGTTTAATCAGCAGAAGTCACAAGGTAAGACTGGTCAGGGTCAGTGGGTATTGAGTGAAATAGCCCAAAACTCAGGAAAAGCAACTGCTTGGCCCTAGCCTTAGTGGCTATGCAGAAATGTGGACTCAAATTGGCCAGGAGTAGAGTTGTCTAGACAAACACTGAAAAATCCCAATTTGTATGTGAAATCTCTTTGTTTTGCTTTTGCTCGATAGTTCACTTAAAACACTGGGCAGGTCAAATCCAGTTCACAGATCAATTGGCAGTGTTTTTGGTTGAGATGATCTCTGAGGCCCTTAGAACTGTGAGAACACAACTTATGTCCTGTGTCCTCATCACCTGACATTTGGGAATTATTGCTGAGTCACCTAGCCTTGGTGCCAGTTTCATAACAGATCCAGAAGGGACCTTCTGTGAGATCCTCCCAAACCATGAACCCAGCTCCCCACAGCAGCCTTTAGTCCCTAGCTCATGGACCTGCTGCAGGAATGTCTCCCATCCCTCAGCCCACCTAAATGCCACCCCTGCTACCAATCTTCAACTTGGGGTCCACTCCAGAGCCTTCCCTGCTGTGGGCACCAGAACACACACTGGGTGTGTGCCTATGTTAACCTGTACTATCCCCTGTACCTGGCACTGAGCAAGGCAGAGATATCCAGTAAATCCACAGAAGAAAAGTGTGGAAAGACAGGATAGGCAAGAAAAGAAACAGAACTTCAAAAAACCCAACCCACTTGTTCAGTCTCCCATTCCCTCTATTACCGCTACCCTGAGCTATAGGTTCTTGTTCCCTGTACTTTTCTCCCATGGGAATGCCCTTCAAGACTGACACCCTTCAGGACATAATTTCCCTGTTCTGTGAACTCAGGCAATCCACCCACCTCTGCCCCTCAGAGTGCTAGGATTTCAGGCATGAGCCACCTTGCCTGGCCTAAGTGTGATACTTCTTGCAGCAATCTCCAGGATGAAGTCTAGGCTTCCTCTTGCATGTCTGTCTCTCAGTAGAAAATGGCTTCTTTCTTTCCCTCTTTCTTCAGCTCCAAACCATTAGAGCTTTTGTTAATTTTTTTCATTTTGCATTATAAAATGCATCTTCCCAGTTAGCCTTCCTTTAGTGTCAGAAGATGATGGTATTCCCCTTTCTTGAATTCTGTTCCTCACATCGCTTACAAGCTGAGTGATGGAATTTCTCCAGTAAGAAGGGTATATCTGCAGTTTTTCTCCACTCTCCTTCTTAGTTAACGAGTAAAGGATGTAACTGTTCCTAACTGTAGCTTCCATCAGCCAAAGAAATAATTTTTCCACTATTTGTAGGACCGCCTTATAAATCTGTAACAACTACAATAGTGATCAGCTCTGTCCGCTCTTCCCATAAACTATGTGTATTCTAAAATAACTTGTTGGGCATGGTAGCTCTTGCCTGTAATCCTAGCACTTGGGAGGCCGAGGTAGGTGGATTGCCTGAGCTCAGATTCGAGACCAGCCTGAACCAGTGCAAGACTTCGTCTCTAAAAATAGCTGGGCATTGTGGTGGGTGCATGTAGGCCCAGCTACTTGGGAGGCTTAGGCAAGAGAATCGCTTGAGCCCAAGAGTTTGAGGTTACTGTGAGCTGTGATGCCACAGCACTTTACCAAGGATGACAAAGTAAGACTCTGTCTCAAAAAAATAATAAAATAACTTGTCAGTTTTTCAAATTGAACAGGTTGTTTCTTCCTATAACCAGTGATGAGCTGTGCTTGAGGGCCAAAGAATGTACCCAGCATCATCACTAACCTCTTGTCATTGAATGAGAGGCACATCATTTTCAAATCACATTGATAGGCACATAATTCACATTCCTGAAGTTTCTTCTTTTTCAGATCATTTGGAAAATCCTTCCCAGAGGTCACAACTGTTTCTGTTACATATATTTTCATTTTATACAATCTTTGCTGTGTGACAGAGTACAGGAACTTTTTATTTTATTCACTTATTTGTTTTTAGACAGACTCACTCAGTTGTCCTAGGGTTGAGTTCCATGGCATTATAGCTCACAGCAATCTCAAACTCTTGGGCTCAAGCCGTTCTCTTGCCTCAAACTCCCAACTAGCTTGGACTGTAAGCAGTCCACCTACCTCAGCCTCCCAGAGTGCTAGAATTAGATGTGAGCCACTGCACCTAGCCCAGAGTAGAGGAACTTTATAAGTTTGCCATTGCCCTCAACCTAGCTACTTGTTACAGGATGCCTAGTATCCTCTCTTTCTTTTTTATCACTATCTTCAGAATCACTGGAACTAATATCGCTGCACACAGGAAGTTTCTTCAATGCTTACTTTCATCACTAAACTCTTCCTTCAACCTCGTTATCCTCAAAATTCTACACTGCAATATCATTGTGACTTACACACCTCTCCCTGCTTGTAAGAAAACGTTCTTACAAACACAACCAAATGGATAAATACAATGCGCCCATCACCTGTTCACATCAAAACCCACAGGCTGCTGAGAAACAAAGAGTACAACCTGCACTATCTCTTGGCTAGAGTACGTACTACATGAGGAAATGTGTGGAGAGGCTCCAACAGCGGAGCAGGTAAACAAACACAACAACACTTCAGAATCTGCCAACATCAGAGTGGAACAGGAAAATCATTTGTCAGAGAAGATTGAAAATGGGATCACAAAGGGTTAAGGGTTACACATATATGCATATAAAGAGTTTAGGCGGCTCAGCACCTGTGGCTCAAGCGGCTAAGGCGCCAGCCACATACACCTAAGGTGGCGGGTTCGAATCCAGCCCGGACCCGCCAAACAACAATAATGGCTGCAACCAAAAAATAGCCGGGCGTTGTGGCAGGCGCCTGTGGTCCCAGCTACTTGGGAGGCTGAGGCAGGTGACTCGCTTGAGCCCAGGAGTTGGAGGTTGCTGTGAGCAATGAAGCCACAGCACTCTACCCAGGGGGACAGCTTGAGGCTCTGTCTCAAAAAAAAAAAAAAAAAAAAGAGTTTAGGGCCAGGCATGGTGGCTTAAGCTTGAAATCCTAGCACTTTTGAAAGCTGAGGTAGGGTTCAGCTTCCTTAAGGCCAGGAATTTGACACCAACTGGACCAACATACTGAGACCTCATCTCTCCAAATAATAGAAAGAATTAGCCAGGCCTTGTGGCCACCTGTACTCCCTGCTACTTAGGAGGCTGAGATAGGAGGATCACGTGAACCCAGGAGTTGAGATTGTAGTGAGCTGTGATGACACTACTATACTTAGGCCAAGCAACAGAGCCAGATTATCTCAAAGAATAAAAATTAGAAATGAACTTAGCAAGCACGAGTTTACAGTGTTTCTTCTCATAACTGTGACTACAATGCTCCTTACCTAAACTCTCCTATTCAGACTATGTGATACTAATGGACAGTGTCCCTATAGCACAACTTGGCACTGATTTTTTTTTTTTTTTTTGGAGACAGTCTCACTTTGTCCCCCTTGGTAGAGTGCCATGGCATCACAGCTCACAGCAACCTCAAACTCTTGAGCTCAAGCAATTCTCTTGCCGTAGCCTCCTGAGTAGCTGTGACAACACCCAGCTGTTTTTAGAAATGAGGTCTTATTCTGGCTCAGGCTGGTCTCAAACTCATGAGCTCAGGTGATCCACTCACCTCCGTCTCTTAGAGTGCTAGGATTACAGGCATGAACCACCAGGCCCAGCCTCACTGGCACTGATTTTTAAACTAAGCTCTGACCTCAAGTTTCCATGGGGAGACTGTTTCAGAGGCTGAATGAGAGTTCATAGGACCTCTGCTTTAACTCTAGCAGTTTCTTGGAGGTTTTTTTTTCCATTTTGGATAATAAGGTTTCGGATCACCCATGATAGCGTTTAGAAGTACTTGGTTTTGAAGCTGGTTGGGCCCTCGGTGAGTCTTGCTGGATGTGAAGGGGACCCACAGAGGAAAATGGATACAGATATGAATGAAAATGAATGAACTCAGAGACGGGAGCCGGTCAGTGGGGCAAAGCCAAAAGCCTAGCCCTCACAACAGGTGATAGAGGCTGCAGAGAGAGGCACAAAGTCCAGAGCTGTGGGGAAAGAAAAGACTCTCTGTCTCCAGTGTTTCCTTAAGGTTTTCTCCGTGGCCTAGACCCCAGCCACTTTCCTCACCAAACTCAAAGCCCTGGGGTTGTGCCCTCCAGGCTGTCAAGGGCAGGCAGAAGATGGGACAGAGAGGGCAGGATGTGTTCTTTAGGTATAGAATCCCTGACTATGGGGTCCAGGGGTTCTGGGCCGACCACAAGGAAGCTGTGCATGCCTGCAGCACGAGCCCCCTGATAGTCACAGCGGTAGCTGTCCCCAACGTGGGCTGCCACTGCTGGCTCCACGTGAGCAAGCCGCAAGGCCTTATGGAAAATGCGGGGATCTGGCTTGGGCCAGCCAGCAGCCTCAGAGGTCAGCACAAAGTCAAAGTGTTCCCGCAGGCCAAGACCTACTAGGATGTCCTCTAGTCGACGGTCAAAGTTGGAGATCACTGCCAGCTTCAGCCCCCGCCTGCGGCACTCCCTCAGAGTGTTCTCAGCCCCCTCCAACACCTGCCAGGTGCTGGGGCTGCTGAAGTCCTCATATAGCTGTTTGGCAATGGGGGCTACAGCCTGGGTATCCTGGACACCTGCCAGGCGGAAGGTCTGTAGAACAACATCCAGCCACCACTGGCGGGAGGTGAGGCCACGGTTCAGGCCATAGTTGGGGAAGCTGTGGCTCTGAGCCCTGTACGCCTGCCCAAAGGCTTGTCCCAAGGCGGTGGCTTCCACTTGTAGCCCATGGGCCCGTGCCTTGTTGGCATATTCCTCCCCCACAGGGCGGCAGACCCTGACCAGTGTGTCCTTTACATCCCATGTCAAAAGTCGTATCTGTAGCTGGCGTGCCATGGAAGCCAAGTCCACCCCAATTCCACCTCAGGTCCCACGGTCAGTCCAGAAAAAACTGTGCTGGATGAGACCACTCCTCCACAACCTAACAATCTTCTCTTTCCAGACCTCGTTGGTCAGATTTGCTAACTGGCATGAGGCACTTGGGAAATGTCTTCACAGGACAAGATCCTATAATGAAAAACAGCAAGTGAGGTGGAAACTCAGGGCCTGATATCAGACTGACTGGGTTCAAATTCTGGTGCTGTGACCCTAGGACAGTCATTCTCTGAATCCTTGTCTCATGTGTAAGAGGAACATCATGACACCAACCTCACAAGATGCTAAGGTGAATGAGATAGTTTACCAACAAATTTCAAAGCACCTTTATGAAATAGATCTGGGAAACAGAACAGACTTCCAGTCTCATGGCATTTATAGGCAGTGAAGAATAGGGGATATATATGTTAGACAAAGAACTATACAAATAATTAAGCATAATTAAGTCAATATGTACCATAAAGGGCCAGGTGTGGTGGCTCACACTTGTAATCCTAGCAGTTGGGAGGCTGAGGCAGGTGGATTGCCTGAGCTCATGGGTTCGAGACCAGCCTGAGCCAGAGTGAGACCTTGTCTCTAAAAAATAAAAAAAGCCAGGCACTGTGCATGCATCTGTCGTCCCAGCTACTTGGGAAGCTGAAGCAAGAGAATCACTTGAGCCTGGGAGTTTGAGGTTGCTGTGAGCTATGATGCCACAGCACTTTACCGAGGGCAACAAAGTGAGACTCTGTCTCAAAAAAAACAGTACCATAACGATAAATCCAGGGAACCAATCTAGTTGCTGTTGTCAGGGAATTTCATAAGCAAGTGAAGCTTCAGTGGAGATTTAAAGAATGAACATATTAGAAGTATAGTGGCTAAGTACTCCTGGCAGTCAAAATTTGGAGCTTTGGGGAGCCAGCTCAGGCAGGGCCTTATAGGTCAAAGCAAGGAAACAATTATTATGATTGCTATTACTATTATTAACAATATCAAAGACAAGAACACCTGTAGGCTCGGTGCCCTTAGCTCAGTTGTTAGGGCACTGGCCACATACACTGAGGTAGGCAGGTTTGATCCAGCCCAGGCCTACTAAACAACGACAACTACAACAAGAATAAAAAAAAAAAAATAGCTGGGCACTGTGGTGGACACCTGTATTCCCAGCTACTCAGGAGGCTGAGGCAAGAGAATCGCTTAAGCCCAAGAGTTAGAGGTTGCTGTAAGCTATGTCGCCACAGCACTCTACCAAGGGCCACACAGAGAGACTGGCTTAAAAAAGAAAAAAAAAAAAGGCTCAGTGCCTGTACCTCAGTGGCTAGGGTGCCAGCCACGTACACTGGAGCTGGCAGGTTTGAACCCAGCCCAAGCCTGTCAAACAACAATGACAACTACAACCAAATAATAACCAGGCATTGTGGTGGGCACCTGTAGTCTCACTAGTTGGGAGACTGAGGCAAAAGAATCGCTTAAACCCAAGAGTTGGAGGTTGCTGTGAGCTGTGACGACATAGCACTGTACCCAGGGTGACATAGTGAGACTCTGTCTCAAAAAAAAAGGAAAGAGCACTTGTAGACCATCTAGCCAACATCCTGACTGCTGAGCAGTGAAGACTGAGCCAGAAAGGGGTGGCGGATACTTGCCTAAGGTTACAATGAGTCAGAGGCTAGAACCCTAACTTTCAGACTCCACCGCATCATGCTTAGATGTATTTGGATTAAAAAAAAAAAA